CTCGCTTTGTAGGTGACAGTAGGACTTCGCTGGTGGTCAAAGCTTTGGGAGAAAAAATCTTCAACGCCTTACCACATATTCAACATCAGCTTTCTACTGGATTGGTCAGATGCAACGATCAACTCTCAGTATTCCAATGGCGCTTCCAGGAGTTGTTCACATAAGAACACATTCTTTATCTCTGACAACGGTGTACCAACAGTTCATATGGTGAAAACGGGAAAAAGATTGTAGAGAGTAAACATAGCGTTCCCCCCTGAAAGTCGGCCAACTTATAAAGGATCAGCTGGCCTTACATCGATCATTCCCCGTGGTTGCGTTATGACAAAACCATCATCGAATTGTGGAATTTGTCCACATTCGCGGTTAGAGAACGAGCAGATTTGTACGAAATGGCTTTTCTCAGAGAGCGCAAGCGGACCAGTTCTGGCACAGATGACCTCTCTAAACAACGTCTGCCTTGGTTTGTCTTCCAGGTAAAAGTCATCTAAGCTATGGGAAGTACCACCAGTACCCAGCTCAAAAAAGGTGCCGCGTGCGGCTTCACTAACGTCGGGAGTCACTCAAAATTTACATATGTATCTATCATCACTCTGGATATAGAAACTGTGATCACGATGGGCAGTGAACCAGCTGCAGTTTTCTTGTGTACTGCGCTTTGCACGGTTGGTCCTATTCGCTACGGAAAGAAAAACCGATAAACTAAAAAGTAATAAAAAACCAATAAAGCAGCCTCCACGATCAGTTAACTAGTTATGAAATTTTCGGATACCCTCACAAGTTAGCGAAAGAAGGAACAAACGACTGCTCATTTGTGCTGGTGATTTTTCAGGTCACAATGATATTATAGTTAGTGTTGATAGCAGTTCTCAGCTGCTTCGGGGTGATGACAATTTGACAGTTGTTCCCCAGGGGCAAGGACAGCCGAGTGTCCGCGAAAGGCATCCATCTATTCGCATGAACTTACTCCCACTTCTAAATGATCTAAACGACGGAGAAAAACATTTTCAGGAGACGCATTGTGTACTCCATAATAAGGAGGCCACAAAATCGAAATTTGTGGCCACAAAATCTCTCAGAGCTTATGAACCACATTATTTTCGGAGAATTTTCTCAAAAAAGGTTTCTACTTCGAACGCACTCTTAAGATCTTAGCACGTACCGTATAACCAGCTGTCTCCCTCAGCGTTTCGAAATTCAGCTGCTCGTAGTAAATCTCGATATATGCTGTGTTCACTCTGTAGTACTCGGTACAAGCGGCGGTGTCGTTGAAAATGTCGAGGACGGCCGGACAATCGACACCTGAAAGCGGGTTTAATAGGAATTTTGGTCTCAGTTTCGTGGATTTAGCATGATTACAATAAAACAATGCCTTGGCTGATTATGAATAATTTTTGGAATGTGCCACACGTCTCACCTCCATTCAGTATCGTATTGGTCTATGAATGTGAACCGACGTAGTCAATGTTTCCAACCCCCACCCCCAGGCGAGCCTGATCGTGAGTCAGTTTAGCTTCTCTAAAAAAGTGGATCGCCACAGTACTCTACCTGCACACACTAGATTACTCATTAGTCGGCAAGGGACAGGGCTTCTCAAGTTTGTGTTACTGGGAGTACTAAGAGATGGGGAACATGCCGGCCGCCCCCATCTACCCAAACGTCTTCGCGTCGTTGGCGTTGCATGGCAAGGATGCTGGCCGAATCACGATTTGGTCACCCTTTCTCGGGCTACGTGGTCATGCTACTTCAATCATTTTCAGCCAGACGATGAACCAAAGACGATAAGGCGGTGTTCAATCCTGGAGGGGCTCGGAAATTTAGAGGACTCATTGTGCAAGACGAGAATTAAGTTCATCCGAATGGAACTGCTACTTGTAAGTATTACTGTACCATGCATGTACTATTGTACTTGGAACTGGTTTACCCACTCCGAGTTTTCTTCTATCTTTACCCTCAGGCAGGAATTCTCGTCTCCATAGCGGTATCTCTAGTCTTTGTGGAGGTCACAAAACTGATTATCTTCTCCAATATTACTAGCGACAACATTAGCACAGTACTTGCTGTTTTCAGTGCTTCGAAACATTAGATCATTGCCAATTAGTAGTGTTGCGAAATGGTGAATGAATAGCGTCGTCCAGCTGGTAATGCAGCCAACGGTTCGACAGTTTGTGGCATGCTTTCAAAAAAATTTTGAATTTTCAATCTACTGGCTTTTATGGTGACGATCTCGCTGCATCCGTCCAGGAGGGGACTCTAATCTAGCGATTTCTATGGCGAAATTTTCCACTTTCCTTTCCAACTGTTCCCAAAATCCACAGTTCCCTGTCCAGTGCTAGCTTCCAT